TTAATATACAAGTAGATGAAGATTTGTAGAATAACAACTTTTCATATTCGTTTTTTTATCCCCAGTTTAATAGGTTAATCATTCATATTTGGACAACTTTTCTGTTGTATTTAGGAAGGAGAAAAATAATCATTACCTTAATAATAACAATTTAAATAGATTTATTCAACTGAAACGATAACATTCCAGCATCTGTGATTTGCTTAAACATCCATGTTTGGGAACTAATTTGGCTAAACAAAATGTATATATTTGAAGAAACTTAGACTGTCGGCCCCTCCCTCCTCGCACTGTCGGCCCCTCCCTCCTCGCACTGTCGGCCCCTCCCTCCTCGCACTGTCGGCCCCTCCCTCCTCGCACTGTCGGCCCCTCCCTCCTCGCACTGTCGGCCCCTCCCTCCTCGCACTGTCGGCCCCTCCCTCCTCGCACTGTCGGCCCCTCCCTCCTCGCACTGTCGGCCCCTCCCTCCTCGCACTGTCGGCCCCTCCCTCCTCGCACTGTCGACCCCTCCCTCCTCGCACTGTCGGCCCCTCCCTCCTCGCACTGTCGGCCCCTCCCTCCTCGCACTGTCGGCCCCTCCCTCCTCGCACTGTCGGCCCCTCCCTCCTCGCACTGTCGGCCCCTCCCTCCTCGCACTGTCGGCCCCTCCCTCCTCGCACTGTCGGCCCCTCCCTCCTCGCACTGTCGGCCCCTCCCTCCTCGCACTGTCGGCCCCTCCCTCCTCGCACTGTCGGCCCCTCCCTCCTCGCACTGTCGGCCCCTCCCTCCTCGCACTGTCGGCCCCTCCCTCCTCGCACTGTCGGCCCCTCCCTCCTCGCACTGTCGGCCCCTCCCTCCTCGCACTGTCGGCCCCTCCCTCCTCACACTTAGTGTCACTTTCTTCTTGTGCAGATCTATTCCACTTCAAACAATCAGAAAAATATTGTTTCTATTCTATTCACTGAACTTCTTGAACCTTCGCACTGAAGGGGTTGATTCTGTATTCAGAGGTTTGTAGAAGTTAGGATGAAGGTCTTTTTCTTAACTCTGTTCATGTTATAACATTTTTGCTGTGAAGAGGCGGCATGTGATCTCCGCTGAGTCCAATTCAGTTTTGAGAACTGCAAAAGTAAACCAATCATCTGTGATAATATCTTGTAGGCAGAGAAACTGCCCAATAATCTTACAGAAACCTCTGGAAGAGCATGACATTGTGAATGGATTCATGGAATTTATGTACCAAAAAAAATAAACACGTACAGCCTTATTCTACATAATTAAAAAACAAATCTTTATTTCATGATGGAATAACCTTTGGATGGTAATATATTTTCCTCAAAAAGCATTTTATTTAAAAAAAATCCGATTTAAATGAAAACTATTTTTTTTTAAAAAAATTTAAAAAAAATCATTGATTTTTATCCACCCTGGTCTTAACGTACACCCCCCCCAGCGGTTCGCATGAACGGGGTGCGTTTCTGATGCGGTGTGGTATTTGCACAGAAAACGCTGCAAATTCTGCACCACATCAGTGTGAACCCGGGCTGAATCAAGAATAGTTGTGCGGTTCCTGTGTGAATCACGTGATTTGTGTGTGTGGTGCGGTGCTGTTCCTGTGCGAATCACATGTGATTTGTATGTGGTGCGGTGCTGTTCCTGTGCGAATCGCATGCGATTTGCGTGTGGTGTGGTTCCTGTGCGAATCGCATGCGATTTGTGTGAGGTGCGGTTCCTGTGCGAATCATATGTAAATTGTGTGTGGTGCGGTTCCTGTGCAAATCACATGCGATTTGTGTGAGGTGCGGTTCCTGTGCGAATCATATGTAAATTGTGTGTGGTGCGGTTCCTGTGCGAATCATATGTAAATTGTGTGTGGTGCGGTTCTTGTGCAAATCGCATGCGATTTGTGTGTGGTGTGGTGCGGTTCCTTGCGAATCATATGCGATTTGTGTGTGGTGTGGTGCGGTTCCTTGCGAATCATATGCGATTTGTGTGTGGTGTGGTGCGGTTCCTTGCGAATCATATGCGATTTGTGTGTGGTGTGGTGCGGTTCCTTGCGAATCATATGCGATTTGTGTGTGGTGTGGTGCGGTTCCTTGCGAATCATATGCGATTTGTGTGTGGTGCGGTTCCTGTGCGAATTACATGCGATTTGTGTGTGGTGCGGTTCCTGTGCGAATCATATGTAAATTGTGTGTGGTGCGGTTCCTGTGCAAATCACATGCGATTTGTGTGTGGTGCGGTTCCTGTGCGAATCATATGTAAATTGTGTGTGGTGCGGTTCTTGTGCAAATCGCATGTGATTTGTGTGTGGTGTGGTGCGGTTCCTTGCGAATCATATGCGATTTGTGTGTGGGTGCAGTTCCTGTGCGAATTACATGCGATTTGTGTGTGTGTGGTGCGGTTCCTGTGCGAATCACATGCGATGTGCTGCACCGCACAAGTGTGAACCCGGCCCACAGCCCAGCCGGTTGCAGACGGCACTCATTCACAGGACTTGCTTGCCGTGAGCCTCGGATTGCATCACATTGTGTTTTGGTTTTTGGTCTTTGCAGCCGTAGCAGAATTTTTCGGTCCCGGCAGAGCTGGGGGTGACGTCATCTGGTTGCCACATGTTCACAGAAGTGCCTTGCCGAGGATGTCTGTCAGTAGCCGCCTGTGACATCATCTGCCATGGAAGGGCCTGGGAATGGATGTATTCGGCTTCATAGTGGCAGAATCTACCATCTTCTGTTATCTCCTAACGGCTCATGTACACCGCTGCTGATAAACTGACGTTCGGGAGCTGTTCTTTTTCTAGTGTCCCAATCTTATCTCCTGATAAGACATATGGTGTGGCGACACGCTGCACATGCTCAGTTTGGTGTGTATTGCTAGAGAGGTTTTTTGTTTTTCGTCTTGGGAGAGTGCGTGTGATCAGCACTGTCCGGATAGAAGTTGGGGGTCCTGCATCCTCCTAGAGCAGAAAGAAAACTCCTATATTCTTTAACCAGTGCTGTGCTGAACACTGATAGATGTCACAAGACTGCTAAATACCTTTTGTCATCAGCAGTTTATATTTACTAAAATAATTGCATTTCCGTCTTCTGTGTACTGTGGGAGACCAGATATAGTGACTTCAGGGTCCAGGGAGACCGAATATAGTGAATGTGGGGTCCGGAGAGAGAGCAGATATAGTGAATGTGGGATCCGGGGAGAGCGGATATAGTGAATGCGGGGTCCGGGGAGACCGGATATAGTGAATGCAGGGTCCGGGGAGACCGGATATAGTGAATGCGGGGTCTGGGGAGAGCGGATATAGTGAATGCGGGGTCTGGGGAGAGCAGATATAGTGAATGTGGGATCCGGGGAGAGCGGATATAGTGAATGCGGGGTCTGGGGAGAGCGGATATAGTGAATGCGGGGTCCGGGGAGACCGGATATAGTGAATGCGGGGTCCGGGGAGACCAGATATAGTGAATGCGGGGTCCGGGGAGACCAGATATAATGAATGCAGGGTCCGGGGAGAGCGGTATAGTGAATGCTGGGTCCGGGGAGACCGGATATAGTGAATGCGGGGTCCGGGGAGACCGGATATAGTGAATGCGGGGTCCGGGGAGACCGGATATAGTGAATGCGGGGTCCAGGGAGAGCGGATATAATGAATGCAGGGTCCGGGGAGACCGGATATAGTGAATGCGGGGTCCGGGGAGACCGGATATAGTGAATGCGGGGTCCAGGGAGAGCGGATATAATGAATGCAGGGTCCGGGGAGAGCGGATATAGTGAATGGGGGGTCCGGGAGAGCGGATATAGTGAATGCGGGGTCTGGGGAGAGCGGATATAGTGAATGCGGGGTCCGGGGAGAGCAGATATTGTGAATGCGGGGTCCGGGGAGAGCGGATATAGTGAATGCGGGGTCCGGGGAGAGCGGATATAGTGAATGCAGGGTCCGGGGAGAGCGGATATAGTGAATGAGGGGTCCGGGGAGAGCGGCGGATACAGTGAATGCGGGGTCCGGGGAGAGGGGATATAGTGAATGCGGGGTCCGGGGAGAGGGGATATATAGTGAATGCAGGGTCCGGGGAGAGGGGATATAGTGAATGCAGGGTCCGGGGAGAGCGGATATAGTGAATGCGAGGTCTGGGGAGATCAGATATAGTGAATGCGAGGTTTGGGGAGATCAGATATAGTGAATGCAGGGTCCGGGGTTTAGGAACACTTTCATACCACTCTAATCTGTGTGGACTCCAGCATCGGCACTCAGTGCTGATCGGTGAGCACACTTTGCTGGGGAGGAGGGCTATCAGGAGACAATGCGCACATTTATAAGCAGGTGACGGCGCCTCTTTAAAACCTAATCCGAAGTTGTGGTCATGTGACTTGCCGCCTCCTCACTCTCTGGTTTCCAGCAATATGGGACGGGTAGAGTGGCGCACAGCCAGGTGACATGGAATTTCTTGGGCTACAAATCTCAGAATGAGTTGCTTCAGCACAATGCACTGAGAGGCTGCTGACTCCTCCCTGTGTGAGGGGACACACACCCTCATGTAGTCCAAAGGAGGCGTGTCTTTGACTCCCTAGGGGGCAGAGGAAGTGGTTGGATTATGGGCGTCATTCATTGCACAAATGAGGCGCAAACATTGAACCACAGTTGCTTTATCAGTGTATCGCACAATGCAGTGTGACTGGTCAGGGAAATAACTGAGGCTGGAGTTGGGCTTTAATCCTTTAGTAACTTTTGTATGAACTTGCGTAGTGTGCAGTAATGGCAATCCGGCCCACCAGGCTCCTTTTTTAATGCCTTTTGTATCCGCCACAGTCTGAAGAAGCAGGGGGTCTTCGTAATTGGGTTTGACTTTGTGGGGGTTTTTTTGTACCGGCACAAAGAGAATGCACCGAAGAGAGGACAAGTTTATGGCCCAAGAAAACAGCCAGCTCCTTTCCTTCTTATAGTCGTGGCCTGCATGTGTGAGTTCACCCAGGAAACAATGACTGGACTCATTAGACTTGTCCTGTTCTCTATCTAGATTTCCCTAAACATGGACAATGAAGACGTCCCGGAGTTCCTGAGCCCCAAGGAGGAAATTTTGTATTGGAAGAAGCTGTCACAGACGTATAAACAGAGGTGAGGTGATGTTTATGTGATTCTGTGCGCCATGTGCCTAGGGATTCCGTGGGAGTTTTTAACTTTTTCAAGGCCAGGAATTAGGGATGCACCGAAACATATCGGCCGAAAATAGCTCTATCGGCATTTTGTCGATAGGAAAAATTTAGCCGATACAGGGGTCTGTGTGTGGGGGCAGATGTGGGGGGGGGGGGGGGGGGGGGCAGGAGAGGAGCAGTGTATACAGTGACTGGCTGTCACTATATGTCAGTGCTGGTTTTTAAATGCTGTTGCCGGGGTTTTTTCTTCACCATAGTTTAGAGATTGAATGAATGAAACTTTTTTTTCTTTTAGCTCGGGAAAGGTGACAGCTGATTCTCTGAGCTATAGTCAAGAAAAAGCTGTCACTTTCCGAGCTAAAAGAAACAAAGTTTCATTCATTCTCTGAGCTATGGTGAAGAAAAAACCCGGGCAACTGCATTTAAAAACCAGCAATGACTATACAGTGACAGCCAGTCACTGTATACACTGCTCCTCTCCTGCCTTTTTCTTCACGCACACACACGCACACACACCTGCAGTACACACAGTCCCCTGTATCGGCTAAATTCTTCCTGTGTGTACCGCAGATGGGGGGGGGGGGGCGGAGAAAGGCAGGAGAGGAGCAGTGTATATGACTGGCTGTCACTATATGTCAGTTCTGGTTTTTTACTGCAATTGCTAGGGTTTTTTTTCTTCACTATAGCTCAGAGAATCAGCTGTCACTTTCCCCGAGCTAAATGAAACAAAGTTTCATTCATTCTCTGAGCTGTGGTGAAGACAAAAAAAAAAGCCGGCAATTGCATTTAAAAACTGGCACTGACCTATAGTGACGGCTAGTGAGGGAGCTTCTCTGTATACACTGCTCCTCTCCTGCCCCCTCCTTGCACACACTGCCCCCCCCCCCCTGCAAAGATGGCCTGTCACTCATATGCTATCACATAGGGGACGTTTTGGTCCCCATTCTAAGACTATTCTATCTACCCTGTAAAAGGGAATATGTCTTTACTTACCTATTCTGAAGTTGCTCTGATCCAGTCACATGACCGGCTTCAGTGTAGAGGAGAGGCGGTGACAACAGCTGCAGAGCCTGGGGGATGACATCCCACATAGGCTTACTATGGGGCAGTTGTTGTCAGCTGTCCCTCCTCTACGCTGAAGTCTGTGCTGGAAGCTGGTTATGGGACCAGACCAGAGCGGCTGCAAAATAGGTAAGCATCGACACCTTTTATTTTACAGGGTAGATAGAATGGAGGTGAGCATAGATTTAGGCTTAGTAGTTTGGATATGGAATGCCACTTTAACGGGGGGGGGGGTTGGTAAAAAAAACAGGGTTCAACCACATGTTTTTACAGTCAACCCCCCCCCAACTGCAAGTGTAAATGGGCACTAACTAACTTATCATGTCTTGTTCTGCTCTGTGCCTGTATGTGGAGGTGGCCATCTTAGTAGAGGCAGGGCTTTGCTTCCACTTGTAAATGTTACCCTTCTGATGACTGGTGGGAAGATATTCATGAAGCAGCACTAGAGGTGCAGGAAGCACAGATCCATAGTGAATGAATGAAGCAGGGAGATCCTTGCACTGGTTGTGCTCCAGTACAGCTTTCTCTCCAGCAAGGTGAGCAATAAAAAACAAAAAATTTGGGCGAGACCAAGCAGTGCCTTTTAGAATAGATAAGTATTCAAAAGTCCAGCTGTGATTGGGTGGCTCTGTTGATATTGTCTTGTCAGAAGGTCAGCCACACAAACGTTTACCGCTGGTGTCCAAGCACTGAAGGCATTCTGTAATTCAAAACCACCTCATTGAAAACTGTAGTATTGGTTATGGGAAGAGTTCACAAAAGTGTTTGCAATTGTAACCATTTGACTCTTCCGCTCACTCTGCCTTTGTTGAAGAACTGAAAGAATTTGGCTGTTGTGAGACCCTAAAGGTCCTCTTTCCATTAAGTAACCTTTTTTTCCTTTTTATTTTAGTTTTCAGGAAGCACGCGACGAGTTAGTGGAGTTTCAGGAAGGGAGCAGAGAATTGGAAGCCGAGCTGGAGACTCAACTGGTGCAAGCAGAGCAAAGGAACCGCGATTTGCTAGCGGACAACCAAAGGCTGAAATATGAAGTGGAAAGTTTGAAAGTAAGACACCCGGTTTGTCTGATACAGTCTGTTTGCTCAGATAAAATATGTATTCGTTACTGTAACGTCAGCATACCTAAAATATTTGTGTTCCTGATTTAGTGTAGATGAAGGTGTGTTAAGTTGTAACATCTAACCATTCCCTGTCTTTTCTTGCAACTGTGAAGCTGCCACACTTAGGCCTTGTTGGGTGGACAAGTGCCATAACTTCAGATTCTAAAAATTTGATCAGAAAACCAATTCGCTCTCCTTTTACACTTACATTCTCTGATCTAGTTTCCATTGATTGGTTGTGATCCATCTGAACAGAAATGTTATCTGTTGAGGTTTTATCTGACGTTGTGCACAGGCTGGCCAGGTTGTTAAAATTTAAAGTGCACCTGTGCCAAGACTATAGACTTTACATTATTCACTTATTTTTAACAAACCCTCACTCGCCTTTTTTAGCTACATGTACTGTGAAGTAATTCATCCTCAAAGATTCTGGGGGGATTCTGGGCTTGCTCCAAGAGATGGTCAGAGGCTGTGGACTTGGTCCAAGAGATGGTCAGAGGCTGTGGACTTGGTCCAAGACATGGTCAGAGGCTTTGCAGTTGGTCCAAGAGATGGTCAGAGGCTTTGCAGTTGGTCCAAGAGATGGTCAGAGGCTGTGGAGTTGGTCCAAGAGATGGTCAGAGGCTGTGGAGTTGGTCCAAGAGATGGTCAGAGGCTGTGGAGTTGGTCCAAGAGATGGTCAGAGGCTGTGGAGTTGGTCCAAGAGATGGTCAGAGGCTGTGGAGTTGGTCCAAGAGATGGTCAGAGGCTGTGGAGTTGGTCCAAGAGATGGTCAGAGGCTGTGGAGTTGGTCCAAGAGATGGTCAGAGGCTGTGGAGTTGGTCCAAGAGATGGTCAGAGGCTGTGGAGTTGGTCCAAGAGATGGTCAGAGGCTGTGGACTTGGTCCAAGAGATGGTCAGAGGCTGTGGACTTGGTCCAAGAGATGGTCAGAGGCTGTGGACTTGGTCCAAGAGATGGTCAGAGGCTGTGGACTTGGTCCAAGAGATGGTCAGAGGCTGTGGACTTGGTCCAAGAGATGGTCAGAGGCTGTGGACTTGGTCCAAGAGATGGTCAGAGGCTGTGGACTTGGTCCAAGAGATGGTCAGAGGCTGTGGACTTGGTCCAAGAGATGGTCAGAGGCTGTGGACTTGGTCCAAGAGATGGTCAGAGGCTGTGGACTTGGTCCAAGAGATGGTCAGAGGCTGTGGACTTGGTCCAAGAGATGGTCAGAGGCTGTGAGCTTTCCCCCGAGAGATGGTCAGAGCCTGTGGGCTTTCTCCGAGATGGTCAGAGCCTGTGGGCTTTCTCCGAGAGATGGTCAGAGCCTGTGGGCTTTCCCCAGAGAGATGGTCAGAGCCTGTGGGCTTTCCCCCGAGAGATGGTCAGAGCCTGTGGGCTTTCTCCGAGAGATGAGCAGAGGCTGTGGGCTTTCTCCGAGAGATGAGCAGAGGCTGTGGGCTTTCTCCGAGAGATGAGCAGAGGCTGTGGGCTTTCTCCGAGAGATGAGCAGAGGCTGTGGCCTGACTGCAAGGGATGGTCAGAGGCTGTGGGCTGGCTGCAAGGGATGGTCAGAGACTGTGGGCCTTATTTGTGGTCCTTCTCTAATATATTGGGGTACTTGGACTGGGAGAGGGAGAGACAGCAGTTGAAGGCAATCAGGAATTCTACATGTACATCTGCTGGCAGGATGAGAGAGCAGAGGGATGATGTCATCCATCTGCTGCTGCTCCCTTCACTTTTCCAGTCATAGACAGGGAGTGTGGTGATGACAAGTTGCATAACTGCAGAAAAGGAACATTGGGTCTCCTGAGCTGTGTCATTTTTAGGACTGGATGAACAGAAGTACAAATCCTTTGTGAACAGCTCCTGCATATGTATTCCAACGCTGTATATAGCTTTTTTTTTTTTTTTTTTTTTTTGCCTGCAGTTTTCAGCTTTGAGACTTCTGATGTTTTTTTTTTTCAAATTTCAGGAGAAGCTGGAGCATCAGTACTCGCAGAGCTACAAGCAGGTGTCCCTCCTGGAGGACGAGCTGAGCCGCGCTCGAAATATCAAGGACCAGCTTCACAAATATGTGAGGGAGCTGGAGCAGGCCAACGATGACCTGGAAAGAGCCAAACGGTGAGCTGTGCAATCATTTATTGTGGGTGAAGGACAAAAAATGTCTCTATTAAAGTCAAGGATTGTCCTTGATTTATTGCTGTGTGCCGGTTATCCTCACAGTCCCTCTCTGCATTTGACATCGCAGGATGTTGTGCGTATAATATAGTGTTGGAAGTGTATTTGAAATATGAAGTCCACATATCTGGGATGAACAACCTTCGCATCTTTTTTTTTTTTTTTTTTTTTTTAGAGAGTCTTATTGGATATTACAGTCCTTGAGACCAATGACAGATGCATTAGAGAAGGGCTCAAAATTTCAAGTCCTGAGCTACCAGCCAGGCCTTAAGAGTTACTTGGCACCAGTTGCCCCACCCAACCCCTGCCCTGCCCCGCCCCAGAACATGCCCTGGTAAATTATCTCATGAAATGACACTGTTAAATGTTTTAGGCAGAATAAAGTTACAAACATAAATCTTACCAACAACAACTTTAACAATATTAACATAGATGTAGTACGTCTGTTTTCTGAGTACAAATCATCGTTACCATTTTCGGCAGAGCCCCCATGTGTTCTCTCTCGCCATACAATGATACAGATGACATGGCACACTGCTATCAGATCCCCAGTAGGGATGCACCGAAATATCAGCCACCGAAACATATCGGCCGAAAATAATCCTATTGGCATTCTGTCTATAGGAGAAATATAGCCGATACAGGGCACTGTGTGTACTGCAGATGTGAGGGGGGAAGGGGACGCCTGAGAAGGCAGGAGAGGAGCAGTGTATACAGTGACTGTCACTATATGTGCCAGTTTTTAAATTACCGGCTTTTTTTTTCTTCACTATAGCTCAGAGAATTGGCTGTCACTTTCCCCCCAGCTAAAAGAAACAATGTTTCCTTTTAGTTTCTTTCCCTAGATAAAAGAAACAAAGTTTCCTTTAGCTCTGGGGAAAGTGACAGCTAATTCTGTGAGCTATAGTGAAGAAAAAAAAAAAAGCCGGAACTTGCATTTAAAAATCGGCGCCGACATATAGTGACAGTCAGTGAGGGAGCCTCACTGTATACACAGCTCCCCTTCTGCCCCCTCTCCCCCTACAAAAATGACCTGGAAACTATTGGTCCCCTATGTGATAGCAATAAAATCATGTTAAAAAAAAGTGTGGGTGTGTGTGTGTAAATATATATTTTATTATTTCAGGTACTTATATAGCGCTGTCAATTTACGCCGAGCTTTACATATAAATTGTACATTCACATCACTCCCTAACCCTCAAGGGGTGTACAATCTAAGGTCCCTAACCCTCAAGGGGCGTACAATCTAAGGTCCCTGACCCTCAAGGGGTGTACAATCTAAGGTCCCTGACCCTCAAGCGGTGTACAATCTAAGGTCCCTGACCCTCAAGGGGCGTACAATCTAAGGTCCCTGACCCTCAAGGGGCGTACAATCTAAGGTCCCTGACCCTCAAGGGGCGTACAATCTAAGGTCCCTGACCCTCAAGGGGCGTACAATCTAAGGTCCCTAACCCTCAAGGGGTGTACAATCTAAGGTCCCTGACCCTCAAGGGGCTTACAATCTAAGGTCCCTGACCCTCAAGGGGCGTACAATCTAAGGTCCCTGACCCTCAAGGGGCGTACAATCTAAGGTCCCTAACCCTCAAGGGGCGTACAATCTGAGGTCCCTAACCCTCAAGGGGCGTACAATCTAAGGTCCCTGACCCTCAAGGGGCTTACAATCTAAGGTCCCTGACCCTCAAGGGGTGTACAATCTAAGGTCCCTAACCCTCAAGGGGGGTACAATCTAAGGTCCCTAACTCACATCCATACATACACATACTAGGGACAATTTAGACAGGATCCAATTCACCTCCCAGCATCTCTTTGGAGTGTGGGAGGAAACCAGAGTACCTGGAGGAAACCCATGCACAGGGAGAACATGCAAATTCCAGGCAGGTGGTGCTGTGGTTGGGATTCGAACCAACGACCCCCTGGTGCTGCCAGGCGGAAGTGCTAACCATTTAGTGTGTGTGTGTTTTGTATATATGTATATGAAAGTAGAAAAAGATACAAAAAAAGAGCCTCCACACCCCCACATACGCAGCCTACTCTGTTCGGTTTTCGGCCACGTGTTCTGAATTTTCGGTATCGATTTTGGCACCAGAATTTTTCATTTCGGTGCACCACTAATCCCCAGACCACTGAGCCGGCTACATGGGCACTGACAGCTCTTAATATACGGAAGCAAGTACAACAGGGACCGGGGGGGGGGGGGGGTTGTACGCTGTTAGTCCACCTTTTCATTTTTATTTCTGAAAAGGTGAACCAACCCTTTAACACAAAGGCCACCTTTTTCAAAGAGAAGAATTATGAGACCTGTTGAAATTAATTCGGCTTCGTGCACACGACGGCAAATGGCCATACAACATACAATGCGACTGTATCATCTCTGCTGGGAACGACAGGTACAGCGTACAACCACAGCAGTCAGTCTGTACAAATCATTTGCAGGACCCCCCCCCCCCCCCCCCCCCACCTTATAATGATCACAAAGATTAACATACTGTAAAAACCATTATAAAATTGAAAAATGTATACACCTAAACACACAATGCCAAAAACTCCACACCCAGTTATCTGCCCCTAGGACAAAAGATTTGTACCAAAGATGTTCTAGACAGAAGAAAGAACCTGCCAGGTAATCAAAAAAGAGCACAACAAATGCTTAAAGCACAAATACCTTCTGTAAACATACCGGTAGCACTACTTTGTATTGTAGATGGAAGAGTTATGCAGCGCACACGCCTTTCCCAGGAGGCACCACTCCTATTATATGGGCATATTTAGGAACTCTAAATGTACAGTATATTGACTGTGCAGCTAGCGGGGCCGTGGATAAGGGGGTACTACCAGTCCTCCTGTACGGGGCCCAGGCAGCTGGGTGAATAGGATGTGGGCAGAGAGGGTGATTGGCACAGCGGGGGCAATTACAGCCAGCTGATAGCCGGCTTCTTCTCCTCTTCCACTGGCTTTCAGCTGCATTAGAGAGAGTCGTACAGGAGATCAGTTCCACTAATTGCCCCCCCGCCATACCCATCATCCTCTTCCCCTGCTGCCTAGGCTCCTCACCCTTGCAGTGCTGCTGGCTTCCATCCACTCCTTCCCACCAGCACTGCAATACACTTCAAGCTGCAATAAGGATCCTTCAGGATGGAGAATGGAGGAAGGGGTCCAGTAAATGTCACGTTTCCCAGCCCCTTCCTTTCCTGAATGAACACAATGAGTGATCGGTACCCATCACTCACTATGTTCATTCGTAGCTGAAGCATAGGAAACTGATTTTTTTTTTTTTTTTGTTGGGGAAGGGGGTCCTGTCAGGTTGGCTGTAAGGGGCCCCGTGGTTTCTAACAGCAGCTAAATAAAAAAAAAAAAAAAGGTAGCGCTTATTTAAATCAATAATAATCACATAAATAATAAAATAAATCAAACTCTATTTGTGAAAGCGATAAATTAATATAATGTATGTGAATATCATTAACCACTTTAAGTCCGGACACTTTTACCTCCTTCCTGCCCAGGCCAATTTTCAGCTGTCATCGCTATCACACTTTGAATGACAATTGCGCGGTCATGCAACACTGTACCCATATGAATTTTGGAGCATTTTTTTGAGACAGATAAAGCTGTATTTTGGTGGTATTTATTCACCACTGGGATTTTTATTTTTTTTGCTATATAAATGAGTCCAAAGTCCAAAATGTTTGAAAAAAAAGTGTTTTCTTATAAAATTTTGCAAATAATATTTCATCATAAATCTTGGCCAAAATGTATTCAGTTATTTTTTTAGTAAAAAAAAATAACCCAAATTAGTTTAACCAAAAATTATAATTAAAAAAAAAATTTTTTTACATTTTTATTTATTTTTATTTTTTTTTTTTCTTAACATACTGTCACCCTAGTAGTACAGTGTCACCATGGTGACACTGTACTACTTGTGGGGGGTGATGCATATTTTTTTTTTTTTTTTTTTGCACTGATTGCTTTTACACCCATAAACACTGTAAAAGCAATCATTTCTCCTTCTCTCTGGCTGCATTCTTGCAGCCATTGAGAAATACTGTGTGAGCTGTGATTGGTCACAGCTTGTCACATTGTAAAGTGTCATAGCCGACACCAGCATGAACCGCACAAACACATAAGCCGTCTCAAAAATCTGAGACGCCAGCCGCTATCGGAACGTAGTGACGTCAGTCCGATGCTCCATCCTACGCGTTTCGTCACTTGCCATCTTCGCGGAGCGGAAGCCCTGGCAGCTAGGATGTTATGAATCCACCCTGGTCAGTACAGCACAGGACTCTTGATCAATCCTTGAGCAACTGCAATACTTGGCTGATTTTCAGATGGGGATTGGGGTCATGTATGCGATTTTAAAGCTGAATCCTTTACTAAAAAAAAGTGGCAGATACCCTTTATAAACATATCCACACCACTTCTATGTGGACATTCTAAATATAAATGCCTTGATCAGAGTATAATAATGTCATATAATGAAACACAATACAAACAGGCACGCTGACACAAAATTAAAGTGTTTGTAAACTCTTACATATACTCAATGAAGTGACTGACAGAGATGAAACAAATCCATCTGCATTAGTTGTATCGGTTTATCTGCAGTTTTCTCTTCTCTGCATCTGTTCAAAGTGCTATATTATAAAGCAGAAAAAAAGGGGGTGAAGAGCTGAAGTTACACTTTGCAGAGGTCAGTGAGGAGATCTCTGAGTGCTGATTGGAGGGAGGGGACACACCTTCCTCCCCACATCACACAGGAACAGAGCTGAGGCTATCAATCAGCTTAAGGTCCCTCCCCTGTCACCATTTTTCTCTTGATGTCAGGAAATTGTGTTAGAAGTGACTTGTGCTGATAGCAGCGGAAGGAAGCAGCCGACAGAAGTGACACTTAGTGCTCTGGACTATGACAAGTACATGATATAGAGGGATATGCTTTGTTCATATTTCATGTCTGAGGTTTACAACCACTTTAAAGAAGAATTCCAGGCACGGTATTTTAACAGTTACATTGTTCCAGCTGGGAGCAATGTAACTATGTATATAACTTACCTGGCTGATGTCCCTGGAAGCTGGAAATCACTGAAGCAGACACTGCTACTACATTAAACTCAACTCGTGCTCTGCTGAGCGGCTGGCTTGATGTATTGTGAACACAGGAGGTCGGCTGCTCAGTACAGGCGTCATTTAGAAAATGCTTTACATGTTCTGAGTGAACACAAGGAGTTTTTCGATTGGACGAGGTGGAGAGTCGGGGCAGTGATGTTACTGTCTCCACCTTATCTGATCAGAGAATGCTTAGCATTCATACAGAACATGCAAAGCTTTCTCTGGTGCTCGTACCAATCAGCCAACCTCCTGTGTGTTCAGAATGCATTAGGCTAACCCAGGGTTAGGCAACCTGTGGCTCTCTAGCTGTTGTGGAACTACATTTCCCATGAGGCATTGCAAAGATTACAAAACTGACAGTTACAGCTATGACTTGCAGAGGCATGATGGAACTTGTAGTCCTGAGGCTCTCAGGTTGCCTACCCCTGGGCTAACCGCTCAGCATGGGACCTGGAAGCAAGTGGTGATCACTGTAGTGATTTCCAGCTTCTATAGGGCATCGACCAGGTATGGTACATACATACTGTAGTTACACTGGTCAAGCTTGACCAGTGTAACTGTGTAATATGCCATGCCTGGAATTCTTCAAAAAATAAATGCACCTTTTTTTTCGCAGGTTAAAATATGTGCATTATAAAAAATTTTTGCAAGTGCAATGTCCAGCTCCTGCAGAATCTCAGAATAGCTGCCTGCCCGTCCCTTCAGTATGGACAGGCAGTTACCTAAGAGCTGGAAAAACAAAGGAACTACAAGAATGGCTCATAATATGACATTACTATTCTCTAATAAAGGCATTTATATAGGTATATGTGACGGGAGTCACTTTGGGTGGGGGGGCCCATGGAATCCAACTCACTTTGGAGAGGTGGGGAGACCCCTGTCTCAGCTCCCCATATCCCTATTATGTGTAAGTCACCCTGTGCCTGTTAGGGGTACAGGGTGATCTATCCTAATATTGTGTAGACATGTATAGGTGGGGTGGGGGTTGTGGATTGTTTGGTGTTGTGTGGTTGCATCCCATTGTTGTGTGTCTGGCTTGGGAGCAAACTATAATGGGATGTATGTGTTTGTGTATTGGCTTGGTGGGGGGGTGTCTCCAGCAACCCTCCCTCCTGATGGGACTGTCTGCTGGTGTGTCTCTTGTTACTAAATGTAGATTGCCCCTCCCTGTGTCATTATCCAGGGAGGGGGGATTGTTCCCTTGAATGTATATATCTTGTATCTGTGTTAAAATAAACGAGTCTACTTCCTGGTTTACTTCAAGACTGGTGTCATCTAGTCTTGTGGTGTCTATGGTCGGTGTTCGGACGGGGAAGCGGGAGTCTAACGGAAGTACCCAAGCGCAGTTTGGGGTCGGTTCCGTTACAGTAGACATAAAAGTATTCATAAAATTGATGTGGAAATGTATATAGAGAGTATCCGTTATCTTACAGCGAAGACCTCAGAAATCTTCTAGCGGGCAGAGGAAAGGCATCGCTCACAACGTACATTTTTTGTATAGAAAATGTCTTTTGTAAATTTGCTAAGGTAACATTTGATCTCCTGTTCACAGGGCGACAATCGTGTCTCTGGAAGACTTTGAGCAGAGGCTAAACCAGGCCATCGAAAGGAACGCGTTCTTGGAGAGCGAGCTTGACGAAAAAGAGTCTTTGTTGGTGTCTGTACAGAGATTAAAGGACGAGGCGCGAGGTAGGATTTCTACTTGTCTCAATATTTATCCTCTTGCCATGGACACAATGGTTGATTGAACACGTTCATTTTCCTTGTACACACCCAAAGGTGTCACCTGAGATTAACTTGTTCGCTTGCTTCTAAAAATACAATTGGAATTTCTTTAAAGACAAAAAAAAATAACACCCAAACAACAAGACAAAGAAAAGACCGGGAATGGTGCAATTCATTTTCGTTTTCGTAAGAGCTGCTAAAGGAGGGAGGGCCTGAACAAATCTTCAGCATTTACTCTGCATTATTAAAGCCTTGTGAACTTTAAGTTCAAATCGATTTAATACATTCCAGGTGCATCAAAACAAAAGGTTTTCTGTAGAAAGCAGCCACAGCACGTCTGTTACCAGCATGCTGCAGTGGAGGAGCCCTGCTTTTTGTGGAGAAGCAGTTGCCTCTCTACAGAGATTCGTAATGCCTCTTGCTAAGTCAGACCTATAATTCTGCACACAGCAAGTAAGTGAAGCTTAATGACGCCGCTCTGAAGCTGGATTCACAGAAAAGAATCACCCCACTGGCATAGGAGTGAAGGAAGCAGCGTGATTTGTCCATTGCAGTGTCTAGAGTGAGACAAGGAGGAGCGGACACCGCTCAAACCAAACCCAGCAGTCCGGCGTGTATGATGTGTAGAGTGGCCACGCTGATGGTCAAAACAAACCATTTAAAGTCACAGGAAACCTGGAGATAAGATATAAAGTGGTTGTAAAGTCATTCTATGCATGAAGGTAAAAAACCATCTGTGTGGAGCAGTGCCCCCAGCCCCATCAATACTTACCTGAGCCTCATCACGATCCAGCGATGTGAACGATTGCCTTGGCTGGCCTGGGTCTCTGCCTCTTCATTGGCTGAGACAGCAAGTGGGAGCCATTGGCTTCCGCTGCTGTCAATTACAGCCAGTCAGCCAATGAGAGAGGGGGTGGGGCCAAGCCGCAGCTCCTTATGTGAATGGACACAGGGAGCACGTGCCCCCATAGCAAGCGGCTTGCTGTGGGGGCACCCCACAGGAGGGAGTAGCCAGGACAGCTTGTGGGGGATCCGAGAACAGGAGGATCGGGGCTGCTCTGTGCAAAACCACTACACACAGCAAGTAAGCAGAACATGTTTATTTTAAAAAAAATTAGCCTTTTAAAATGGCTTTAAGTACAGCGTACCACTGGAGAGGACCAAGGAGCTCTAGGACCCTTCATGTCATGTCTGACCTGAAGACATTTGGAAAAGCTAATCATACCAAAAAAGCATAAAATATTGCTGTGGGTGGGGTTTCTGAGTTTGTTTCTGACCATAGAAACCCAATTTTGTGTCCCTATACAGAACGTACACTTAGTATGAACGTACAGGTGTATATACGCTTTCTCGATGTGTGTTCATGTACACTCTCATTGCCATGTTACCGAAGTCCTGTCACAAAAGGCTTCCCTGTCAGCCAGCCAATGCAATGTTTTGCATTTACTGACCTATCCATTGCCCATCTGCAGCTAAGTCATATGCTAAGTGTAACGGAACCGGACCCCGACTGCACTTGGGTATTTCCGTTAGACTCCTGCTTCCCTGTCCGAACACAGATCCACGGACACCACCGCTGGCCATACGAGACTAGACGAGACCAGTCTTGAAGGAAACCAGGAAATAGACTACTTTATTTTAACACAGACACAAGATATAAACATTCAAGGGAACAATTCCCCCCCCCTCCCTGCATAAGGACACAGGGCGGGGCAAACCAAATCTAGCAACAAGAAACACATCAGCAGACACCCCCCCACCAAGCCAATACACAAACACATCCCATAATAGTTTGCTCCCAAGCAAGACACACAATAGAACAATGGGATGCAACTACATAACACCAAACAATCCACAACCCCCCACCCCACCTATCTCCTATACATGTCTACACAATATTAGGACAGATCACCCTGTACCCCTAACAGGCACAGGGTGACTTACACATAAGAGGGATATGGGGAGCTGAGACAGGGGTCTCCCCACCCCTCCAAAATGAGCTGTGTTCCATGGGCCCCCCACCCAAAGTCACTCCCATCATACTAAGGTACGGTCATGTGACTTGTAATGTCTCTGAGAGAACATGTGAACATTTTACTTACAGCAAGTCTTTAATGACACTGTTGTCTCACTGGGAACAGGGGACTCAGTGGATGAGAGGTGGCGCACACACCTAGTGCATTATCCAAGGTTTATTGTAGGAATGCAATAATAAAAACATACTCACAGACGAAGCATGTATCTAAAAAGCATAGAAAAATGACAATGGCCACAACGGCGGGCAAGGTGTTCTCACTGTCAGTGCGGTCAAATGGCTGACGCGTTTCAGGGACGAATCCCTTTCCTCAGAGCTGATGTATGGACAGAAAGAGCCTCACTGTTGATGCCTCAACATACATCAGCATCAGAGGTTGGTCATCAGCTCTGAGAGGAAAGGGATTCATCCCCGAAACACGTCAGCAATTTGACCGCACTGACAGTGAGAACACCTTGCCTGCCGTTGTGGCCATTGTCATTTTTCTATGCTTTTTAGATACATGCTTCGTCTGTGAGTATGTTTTTATTCTTTCACTCCTACATTAAACCTTGGATAATGCACTAGGTGTGTGCGCCACCTGTTTTCTCTCTATCCAGTGGCTGATTTCCCCGTCTGAGGAGGGCTGCACCCCTGGAACATTTCCTTTTGGTTGTCGCTGTCCTGGTACCCTTGGCTTCCCTTTTGGCTGTGCATATCCTGAGGCGCTGGAGAGTACATACGACTCAGTGGATGAGTTGCATGATTCCCCTCCTCCCAAAAAAAGTGTCTGCAGCTCAAAATAGGGTGGTGACACACACATCGGGCTTCTTTTCACATAATTTATATATCAGCCTTTGTGTGCTTTGCCATAAAACTGAAGGATCCATACCAACCTTTTTAACGTGGAGGAACCCTTGAAATAACTTTCCGGTCTTGGGGAACCTGTGCTAATACTTGCTATATCTAAAGCTTACAGTAGAATAGTGTGATAGTCAGCGGGGAGAAAGTTCCTTCTCTTTGTGGTCACTGGAAATAATCCTCCCTCCCCCATACAGATAGCTGAAAAGCTCATTGGTTGCGGTGGTTTCTTATCTGAGAGGTAGAAATTGCTCAAGGAACCCCAAGAAATCTCTGGAGGAACCCTAGTTGAAAATAATGGATCTAGACCAGGGGTGGGCAAACTTTTTGACTTGAGGGCCGCAATGGGTTCATATATTGGACCCGGGGGCCGGACCAAGAGTAGATGAATGATGTGTATGTGTCATCCATAGTAAGTATAGTAATATTCCCCCATAGTAAGCATAGTAATTAATCCCCCATATAGTAATTCATCCCCCATATAGTAATTCATCCCCCATAGTAATTTCATCCCCCATATAGTAATTCATCCCCCATATAGTAATACATCCCCCATATAGTAATTCATCCCCCATATAGTAATTCATCCCCCATATAGTAATTCATCCCCCCATATAGTAATTGATCCCCCATATAGTAATTGATCCCCCCTATAGTAATTGATCCCCCCTATAGTAATTGATCCCCCCTATAGTAATTGATCCCCCCTATAGTAATTGATCCCCCCTATAGTAATTGATCCCCCCTATAGTAATTGATCCCCCCTATAGTAATTCATCCCCCCCCATATAGTAATTCATTCCCAATATTAATTCATCCCCCATATTAAGTCCCCAAGTCCCCCCTGTGTCAATTCACTTACCTTTGCTCCGCGCGTTCCTCTCGCCGTGTTCCCGCGCCGTTCCGGTGTAGCATGAAAATCTGTCTCCTATGAGGATCTGTCCCCCTCGACGTATCTGCGCATGTGCCAGTTTCAGGCATTAGCAGCCGATCGGCGATCTCCGGCACATGCGCAGATACGTCGAGGGGGACAGATCCTCATAGGAGACAGATTTTCATGTTACACCGGTCTTCAGGGCGGACTGTGAGAGGAGCCTAGCTCCCCTCGCGTTCGTCACGCTGCCCCGCCTACACACATCCTGACAGCCATCCTGACAGTATCACGCTCCGCGGGCCGGATTAAAAGGTCCGCCGGGTCGTATACGGCCCGCGGGCCGTAGTTTGCCCATTGCTGATCTAGACAGTGGACATCACAGAGAAAGTGAAGGGTTCAGCACAAGCTGATTGCCTGAGGTACAGGCATGCCATGCGTTGGCACAGCGTCCTTTATCTCGGGTGAGAAAGCTATAGTATGCAAACTGACCACACTGATACAGGTCTGCTTCCATGTGCAGCCATGTGCAGAATTTTCATAGGCGTTTGAGAAGCGTTGACAACGCTTCCCAAAACACCTGTCTGACGCCTGCTGACAAAGCTAGTGTGAACGTAGCCTTAAGGTGGGAATACATGATAAGAAAATTGACCGATCGGTCATGGGATGACCGAGAGGCGTTCGTTCATTGGTCGAAATCTTGGCCCACATTAGCCAATCTAAAAAAAATCATTCGTCAGGGAATATGTAGTGTTGACGTCTTCCATAATAAGTGGAAGTGATGCAGTGTGCATGTGACCTTGTAGCCACGCCCCTTCCGGCCAGAAGGAGCGATATACACAATTACCAGCAATGAGTATAATATCGTTTATTACATGACCTACATACACAAATAGTGATACATAAAATATAATATGCATAATTCTGGTTTCATCATCTCATTGGGCCGATCTACTTTTAACATTTGGATTTTTCATTCGTGTTTACGAAGCTTCCTTGGTCATTAACATCCGGGTCATCTTCTGTTTCCGCTCATGCGTGATAGCGCATGACAGATTTTTTTCGTACGACTGTCATACCACCGCATAGAAAATCGGTCGTTCTTATGCAAGACGACAACATTTTGCAACCGGATTTTCCGTTCTCAATATCATTACCGGTTAAAACATCCTGCTCATCAATGAAGAGAAAATCGTTCGATCAGCGGTTCCTCGAAATTTTTCAAACGATTTTCTTATCGTGTGGTTCGAATGATTCAGGAAGAGAAAACTTTGACCCCAGATAATCACATATTTTCTGCTGACCATGAAAGTATCCGTAAAAAAAAAAAAAGAATCTTGCACATCATTTATTATAGACATGGAAATTTATTATACGGCTGACTGATCTTTTGTACACTTTAACCCTTTAGTCCTCTTTAAACTGCATTTTTTTTTTTTTATACAGCTTCTAAGCAGAAATGTTTAAGTGACATTTATTCTCAAACAGTAAAAGATCTTTTAGAGCCGAGAATCCCATAATAAGTTGTGGGTGTGTTGTAGAAGCGGAGTAAGCAAGTCACTGATCATCCCCATGACTGAAGATCTGTTGTCATCCTCCTCTGGAGCTCCCTTCTATCACAGGGCTGTCACATTCACCAGCTCGGCTCACACTGGCCGCAGTCCAGACAAGAGGATTATTTGTGTTTTTCAGGAAAGTTTTAACAGATGGCTCTTTCATCATCTAAGGCTCTTCAGAGAAAGCCTTCCATGTAATTACACAAGGGGGCAAGTTTTTAATAAATTGTTTTTTTTTGTTTTTTTAAATTGTAGATTTAAGGCAAGAATTAGCTGTACGTGAAAGACAGACGGACGGGAGAAAATCTGCTCCGAGTTCTCCGACTTTGGATTGTGAGAAGACCGACTCGGCCGTCCAGGCGTCCCTGTCTTTACCCGCCACGCCCGTGGGCAAAATCTCAGACAACAGTTTTACCTCTCCGAAAGGTCAGTCCACTCCGCCCCCTGTGTGTTATGTCATCTCTTCATCTCGAGGACAAAGGACAAAAGCGTAAAGCTGAAGTTTAATCTGTTGATTTTTTTTGTCATCCCTGGTTCCCTCCCCCCTTCCTTAACCACTTCAAGTCTGGACACTTTCACTCCCTTCCTGTCCAGGCCAATTTGTCAGTGCTATCACACTTTGACAATTGCACGGTCATGCAACACTGTACCTGTATGAATTTTTTAGCATTTTTTTGAGACCGATAAAGCTTTATTTTGGTGGTATTTATTCACCACTGGGATTTTTTTTTTTTGCTATATAAATGAAAAAGTCCAAAAATTTTTTTAAAAAGTTTTTTTTTTTCTTATAAAAGTTTGCAAATATTTCATAAATCTTGGCCAAACTTATTTCGTTATCTTTTTAGTACAAAAAAAAAAAAAAAATAACCCAAATTAGTTTATAACCAAAAATTACCATTTTTTAAAATTTTTATTTTATTTTTTTATATATTTTTTTTTACATACTGTCACCCTAGCAGTACAGTGTCACCATGGTGACACTGTACTACTTGTGGGGGGGTGATGAAGTTTTTTTTTTTTGTACACTGCTTGCTTTTACACCCATAAAGGCTGTAAAAGCAATCATTTCTCCTTCTCTCTGGCTGCATTCTTGCAGCCATTGAGAACTACTGTGTGAGCTGTGATTGGTCACAGCTTGTCACATGGTAGAAGGTTGTTGTGAATAGCCCTGTACCATGTGACCTCTGTGATCATTCACAGATTTCGCACGTAGTAAGCAAAGATGTCAGAAGTGACATCTTGCTTACTACTCTGCATGTGATCACTGATTGGCCAGTCAGTGATCACATGATCAGGACCTCGCACAGAGGTCCCGTCCGACGATCGGCATTCCACTGTGTCCGGAGGACTGCGGTGCCGCGCGAACAAGTACGGGGCAAGGAGGCGGGAGCCACCGTCCAGCTGTTGATATACAACGGCCGGACGGGAGGTGGTTAACTACTTGCCGACTGTGCCCTGTAGCTTTACTACTCCGGTTTGGGCTGGCTGCGCAAAATCGCTTATATATTTATTATTTTATTACAGGTAGTTATATAGCGCTGTCAATTTACGCAGCACATATATATTGCATTCACATCAGTCCCTAACCCTCAAGGGACGCACAATCTAAGATACCTAACTCACATTCATACATACACATACTAGGTCTAGTATGTGCATGTATGAATGTAAGTTAGGGACCTTAGATTGGACGCGTGCCTGTGTGGGTTTCCTCCTGGTGCTCCGGTTTCCTCCCACACTCCAAAGACACGCTGGTAGGTTATTTGGATCCTGTCTAAATTGGCCCAATTTAGACAGGATATAATTAACCTACCAGTGTGTCTTTGGAGTGTGGGAGGAAACCGGAATACCCGGCGGAAACACACAGGCACAAGGAGAACATGCAAACTCCAGGCAGGTGGTGCCATGGTTGGGATTCGAACCAGCGACGCTAGTACTGCCAGGCCGAAGTGCTAACCATTTATCCATTGTGCTGCCCATATACGTCGCTTTTCTGGGTAGGGAGTGCGCGCGCGCACGCCTATCTACCTACAGGGGCGTATTCACCACAAGGCAAACAAGGCATTTGCCTAGGGTGGTATTTTTCAGGGGGACAGCGGAAGAAGGGACACATGAGGACCAGGTGGAATCCATGAGAGGCTGCGGGCTGCTTGACTGTGTATACAGAACCCAACTCTCGTTCCCGGGGATGCCCAGAGCTGTGAAGGTGTTTTTCTCGCCGGGTGGGTGGGGGGGGGGGGGGGGGCGGCATGATAGCGGGTGTATGGGGCCCGGTGAGGGTTGGTATCAGACTTTCTCCGCGGTAGATGGGGGGGGGGGGGGATTTTGTGTTGCCTAGGGCAGCACAAAACTTAAATACACCACTACCTAGGACAGGAGGTATGTTAGGATCCACAACACCAATAAAAACAGGAGTAGGTACCACATGCACTTTTTCCCCTGGAGGCTTGTAGAGACAGACATGCCTGGTGAGACGCCTTCAAAGTCGATGTAAAAACATGCCCCCGTCCTCATCCCAGAATGCATTGCTCAGTGCCTTATGACTTCTCTAGAAGCCCAGACGTTATCACTATAATTGCTGGGGCCCCTTCCTATGGTCTGGCCTTCAGACGTTCGGTAGTTCAGTAGGCTTTAACCCCCATTTCACATCCATGCGGCCGTGCGGGCCGAGTTTTGCTCGGGCACAAGAGCCCATTCATTTGAATGGACTCCCGTGCCCCGTGACACACAGGGAAGAAGTCCCTGCACTACTTTGGAAAACACAGCCGAGGTTCCCAGTACGGTTGCGTTTTCCAGTGCGGGCGGCGTACCATTAGAACTAATGACACCCTCCTGCGGGTACGCAATTCTCTGTGCAGGTGGTGCGGCTGCACGGATTTTTGTGCGGATCTGCAGCGGCACCAACCGCACGGAAGTGAACTGGGGGTTAAAGTTCTGAGCAATGAAATGTTGGTAATGAGGCTCCTTATTGGTTAAAGTACAGGTTTACTTGAAATAAATGATCACTTTTGAAGGACATAAAATCTTCTGCGTGATGAACATGACATCATATTTCCACGTCTTTATCTGTGTTAGTAAGGTCACCCGGCTTATCGGGAATGTCAGATTCTAAGAGCTTCCAGCAGGAAAGCTTCACAGATCTGAGATATTATTTATTGCCGGTTCTTTGAGTTCATTCCAGAGTCCAGATCTCACTTTCCTTTCTACGCGGTGTCCGGACTTTGCTGTAAGTTTAACATTTTGTTCTTCTCTTAGGTATACCTAACGGATTTGGTACCACCCCCCTGACTCCGTCCGCCAGGATATCTGCACTTAACATTGTGGGGGATCTCTTGAGAAAAGTTGGTGTAAGTATAGACCTGTCATGTCCAGCACCTTCCTCAGATATACTGCTGACTATTTAAAGTGATTATAAAGGATAACATTTTATTTTGGAAATAAAATAACGTACGTTATACTTGCCTGCTCTGTATAATGGTTTTGCACAGAGCAGCTTCAGTCCTCCTTTTCTGGGGTTCCCCGACAGCTCTCCTGGCCCCTTCCCCCTCAGAGTGCCCCCATAGCAAGCCACTTTCTAAACAAAGGGTCAATTTACTGTCCTTCAATCTTTAGTTGGCCGGACTGTGGTCAGAGGGAGTAGAAAAAAGTCCTGGTGTCAGTGGCAGCCACTGACATCCTTCTGTCAACACACCGCTTGGTCCCTCACCGCCATCTTGCTTGCCCACGATGCCCGCTGGCTCTTCTGGATGCAGTCGGTGGGGCCTTGTGATGACACATCGCTAGGCCCACCCACCTCCAACACACTCAATGAGAGACTAAAGGCCTCCTGGGTATGTGATGTGCATCCTAGGAGGCCCAGCCAGCACTGAGCACTTCATTTGTTTAGACGAATGGCGTGGATTGAGGGGCAGGGCTAAGCTGTTTGCTTAAAAAAAAAATGTTTAAAAACCTCCCATATTTGTGTAGAGGAAGGTTGGAACAGGGGGAAACTTGTGAAGGTTGGAGCGGGGGGAAACTTGTGAAGGTTGGAGCGGGGGGAAACTTGTGAAGGTTGGAGCGGGGGGAATCTTGTGAAGGTTGGAGCGGGGGGAAACTTGTGAAGGTTGTAGCGGGGGGAAACTTGTGAAGGTTGTAGCGGGGGGAAACTTGTGAAGGTTGGAGCAGGGGGAAACTTGTGAAGGTTGGAGCGGGGGGAAACTTGTGAAGGTTGGAGCGGGGGGAACTTGTGAAGGTTGGAGCAGGGGGAAACTTGTGAAGGTTGGAGCGGGGGGAAACTTGTGAAGGTTGGAGCGGGGGGAAACTTGTGAAGGTTGGCGGCGGGGGGGAAACTTGTGAAGGTTGGAGCGGGGGGAAAACTTGTGAAGGTTGGAGCGGGGGGAAACTTGTGAAGGTTGGAGCGGGGGGAAACTTGTGAAGGTTGGAGCGGGGGGAAACTTGTGAAGGTTGGAGCGGGGGGAAACTTGTGAAGGTTGGAGCGGGGGGAAACTTGTGAAGGTTGGAGCGGGGGGGGGAACTTGTGAAGGTTGGAGCGGGGGGAAACTTGTGAAGGTTGGAGCGGGGGGAAACTTGTGAAGGTTGGAGCGGGGGGAAACTCGTGAAGGTTGGAGCGGGGGGAAACTCGTGAAGGTTGGAGCGGGGGGAAACTCGTGAAGGTTGGAGCGGGGGGGAAACTCGTGAAGGTTGGAGCGGGGGGAAACTCGTGAAGGAGCGGGGGGAATCTTGTGAAAATGTGAAAACGGGTGAAGTTCTGCTTTCTTTTGTAGAAAGCAGTGATATAAATAGGGGGGACAGTGGACATCCAGTTTTAAGAAAAATTGGCAGAAGTTGTTCACCTCTAAAAGAGGCCACCAGAAAGACTGAATTACTTTTTTTTTGTTTTCTTGTTTTTTGTTTATTTTTTTTATTTTTTTTGCAGCTAGGAAAGGGTTCACTTTTAGTTGCAAAAAAATAAATCTTACGCCTGTGGAAACATGGATCCTGTGCATTGCTTGCATCCTAGTCGGTAACCTGCTGCTTCTCCCTTCTCTGCAGGCCTTAGAATCCAAGCTTGCTGCATGCAGGAACTTTGCCAAGGACCAGGCCTCCCGCAAGTCCTACGTCCCAGGGAGCCTGAACAGCGGTAGTAGCAGCACAAGCAGCATAGTAAACAGTGGAACAAAGTACTCCCACCCCGGGCACACAACCTTCTTCGATAAAGGGTGAGTGGAAAAGTGGGATGTCTGCGTCTTTATTTTACAAAAAAAAGATAGTTAAGTGATCACTGCCTCACTTGTCTGCCTTTTCCCATTCTGTGTTTGCATTGTATTGTAACTTTTTGGAGCTGAGCGCACACAAATATGCGTCCTCTCGGCGGCTGGGCCTTGGCATAGAGGGGCCGCATATGTATGTACTGAATGTAAACAGCAGATGCGCGATCCCTGCTATTTACAGAAAGGCGTGAGACAATCATGTGACAGCCAATCACGGCATCACATGACCCTAAACCCCGCCCCACCTCCCAGCTCCACAAGCCCCTTAAAGAGCCAGAAGGTGCTGTCACCAGGGGTTAAAATGACTGTCGTGTGTTGTTCTGGATCACCAATCACTGGCATGTGTCAAACCTGGTGCTTAACCTCTTGGCGCCGGCCGCACGCAAATGTGTGGCATCCCGGCGTCTGGGCCTTGACGCACATTTGCGTGCAATTAAGAAAAACATATGTGCTGAGAGCGCTCCCAGCACACATGTCCGGTACTCATGGAAAGGTCCCGATCTCCTTTCAATCGGGACCTTTGCCGATCATGTCACGGCGGTCACATGATCCTAAACCCCGCCCCTAGAAACTAGTCACAGCCATGGAGAAACTAGTCACAGCCATGGTCTGCAGACAAACGGCTTTTGTGTGTTAAAGGTGAGGAGCGCCTTGAGCCCGGGTTCACATACATGCGGTGCAGCATATCGCATGTGATTCGCACAGGAACCGCACCGCATTCCTCTACGAATCACATGTGATTTGTGTGCGGTGTGATCGGAGTTGTACATTTTGTGTGGCTCTATTTGCACCGCACCCGCACCAAAAACATCACACCTATGCGATCCAATTCTGCACATCACACCGAGTTTTGCGGACCGCTTTCGGGGTGTTAACTTAACCTACACACCCGCAGCGGTTCGCATGTACGTGGTGCAATTCTGATGCAGTGCGGAATTCACACAGAAACTGCTGCAAATTCCGCACCTCATCAGTGTGAACCCGGGCTGAATCAAGAATAGTTGCATATCAGTGATTCAGTATCAGGTTTTATTGGTAATTCTAAATTAAGCTCAAATGCGATGGTGCGCTTTTTTTTTTTTTTTTTTTTTTTTGTTTGTTTTTTTATCCTACCTAAAACACACTGATACTACTAAAAAAAAAAAAAAAAAACCCTGTCCAAAATATTTTGACACTGCTGGTGACCCTCACTTTTGACCCTTCACCCAAACACTAACCCTGAGACTGACCTAGATCAAACATTGATCTAGGTTTTTTTTTTAGAGTTTTTATTTTACACACATTTGTTTTTCTTTCTCCAGACGCAATATATATATTTTTAAAAATATTTTTCATATATTTTGTAATAACTCATTAATTATATATATATATATATATATAGAGAGAGAGAGAGAGAGTGTTATTACAACAGATATGAAAAATTTTTATAAAAATATATATTTTAAAATATATTCTTCAGATTTTTGTTTTAAGATATAGTTTTCATATATTTGTAAATGCATTCCAAAAATGTAGATTTGTCATTTTAAAGACATACAGTACATTTGAAATGTATTTTTAAAAATTTTTTCATATATTTTGTAATAAAAATGCATTTCAACACACAGTTTTTATATATATATATATATATATATATATATGTATTGAATACTGCTAAAATTGTAGCATTTCAAATATATGTCAATATATTTTTTGAAGAATATTTTTTAAATATATCTGAAATATATTTTTCCTCCATGTGGGTAGTGTGAACCGAGACGAAGTGTATTAGCTGTATTTGTGATTACCAATAAAAAAAATTAAAACAAATCACTGATACGTACAACTCTTGTACAATCCATGTGCCAAACCCTTCCCTGTGCTAGTTGTTTCCCATTTTTGTAGCATTTTCAACTTTTGGTTTAGTTCCCCGCTGGTAAGAAGTACTGTGGTTTTATTGTATCGATGGACACTTGTATGTACTTTGCACGTGTCCATGGCAGATTTCTCACTAGGGTGGTGTCTTGGATGAGCTTTTTTTTTCTTTTCAGCCTCCCTCCTCATTATCAGGTAAGTGATTGGCGGCTGGGACCCACATCCAGGTGGGCTGCAATAACGTTTTCTCTCTTTTCCCCCCACTAGGCAGGAAAAGGTCATTTTCCCCACGTTGTTTATGGGTAATTGAACATAGCGATAAGGTTGCATGCTGGTGTTCTGCCTCTGGGTGACTTAACGTGAATCCCTCCTTTCTCCAGATCGGCCACACTAACTGCATGGGGGCGTCTCTTTGCCGCTTATTCTGTCTAAATTCGAGGGCGTTTGTTTTGGTTTTTTTTTGTGGTGTTGACAAGATATGAGCATCAGGCTTTCATGGCGATGCTCAGGATGCTGACAAGACTCTTAAAGTCGCAGTCATTGGATTGAGGAAATTGAAAAGGAACTACCGCGTTTTACTGCTGTTACGTTGTGATATTGATGACTGTGATTGCTCGTGCAAGTTTGTGGCAACAAAAGATTAAAGCCTCACTGAACGTTCAGGTTAAGGGCCGGTTCACGCCACAGTTTCTGCGTTCTGGATTCTGCATGAACGTTTACATGCAGTTTTGATGTGTTTTGGTTACCTTCTGGTGTGATTTCTTTTTTTTTTTTTTTTATAAATTAAAAAAAACAAAAGGAAACCTTGGGGAAAAAAAAACGAAACGGGAGGGGGGGGGGGGGGGACACATCTGGAACAAGTTACTCTGATGTGAGCTGTAAGCGGACATGCATCTGGAGTCCGGACTGTCCATAATTTTAAAGCGTGCCTCGGGACTGTCCATAAATTTAAAGGGTGCCTCGGGACTGTCCATAAATTTAAAGGGTGCCTCGGGACTGTCCATAAATTTAAAGGGTGCCTCGGGACTGTCCATAAATTTAAAGGGTGCCTCGGGACTGTCCATAAATTTAAAGGGTGCCCCGGGACTGTCCATAAATTTAAAGGGTGCCCCGGGACTGTCCATAAATTTAAAGGGTGCCCCGGGACTGTCCATAAATTTAAAGGGGTGCCCCGGGACTGTCCATAAATTTAAAGGGTGCCTTGAGACTGTCCATAAATTTAAAGGGTGCCTTGGGACTGTCCATAAATTTAATGGGTGCCTCGGGACTGTCCATAAATTTAAAGGGTGCCTCGAGACTGTCCATAAATTTAAAGGGTGCCCCGGGACTGTCCATAAATTTAAAGGGTGCCCCGGGACTGTCCATAAATTTAAAGGGTGCCCCGGGACTGTCCATAAATTTAAAGGGTGCCCCGGGACTGTCCATAAATTTAAAGGGTGCCCCGGGACTGTCCATAAATTTAAAGGGTGCCCCGGGACTGTCCATAAATTTAAAGGGTGCCCCGGGACTGTCCATAAATTTAAAGGGTGCCCCGGGACTGTCCATAAATTTAAAGGGTGCCCCGGGACTGTCCATAAATTTAAAGGGTGCCCCGGGACTGTCCATAAATTTAAAGGGTGCCCCGGGACTGTCCATAAATTTAAAGGGTGCCCCGGGACTGTCCATAAATTTAAAGGGTGCCCCGGGACTGTCCATAAATTTAAAGGGTGCCCCGGGACTGTCCATAAATTTAAAGGGTGCCCCGGGACTGTCCATAAATTTAAAGGGTGCCCCGGGACTGTCCATAAATTTAAAGGGTGCCCCGGGACTGTCCATCATTTTTAAAGGGTGCCTCGGGACTGTCCATAATTTTAAATGGTGCCTTGACTGAAAAAAGGTTGAGAAACAATGTGCTAGACCACCTTATATATGATTTTGAGATGTAAGAAAAAAGTGAGAGCGTCTCACCAATGGTCACAGAGCCCAGGAAGGGTTTTAAACTCCAGAATACACTCAGCGCAGGAAACGCAAGCCATGTATAGGTGTGTACAGTAGCGCTGACAAATCTGGGGTGGAATTCTACGAAGCCGAGCTGTGATATTATCTGCAGAGCTTGTTTCTCTGCAATCGTGATTCGAGGATCTCTTTTATACAGCCTCGTTCCTGCGGATGAATGCCATGTGAAGAAGTCTGGGCAGAACAGCCCATTAATAGGATTAGCAGGTTGTAACAAGGCCCCATAATGCAGGCAGCCGAGGACTATCAACGTGACCAGGATGTAACTTAAGGGGTTTTGTTTTTAATTCCAGCAGAAGTGTTTGTTCCGCGAAGTCTTCTTTCCACCAGGAGACAGCTGGCTCTCCATCCCGGGGCACAGGCAGGGAGCCTTGCATGTCTTATCCCATTACAGTGATGTCGTTGCATGCAAGAAGCTCGTGGTGCTCTAGAAGTGCCAATTGGGAAAACGGCACGGATTAAAGCAGGTCTAAATCCAATCACGAAAATCTCAGAAGCTTTCACGTGTTCAGATCATTTCAGAAGTGGTCTTCAGTCTTTTTAAATCAGCTTTCAAAAACTTCATGAAGTTCCCTGTCCAAGCAAAACCTGTCCGAGGGTGACAACTGATTCCCCGATCTTTTACCGTGTCACCCTGTCACATGCTCCCTTGGCAAAGACTACAAGTGACTGATTGCATAGACATGGTCCACTGTTTCTTGACCCATCTAATCTGGATCGGTTTATTCTAGATCCATCTAACCTAGATCGGTTTATTCTGGATCCATCTAACCTAGATCGGTTTATTCTGGATCCATCTAACCTAGATCGGTTTATTCTGGATCCATCTAACCTAGATCGGTTTATTCTGGATCCATCTAACCTAGATCGGTTTATGCTGGATCCATCTAACCTAGATCGGTTTATGCTGGATCCATCTAACCTAGATCGGTTTATGCTGGATCCATCTAACCTAGATCGGTTTATGCTGGATCCAGCTACCCTAGCCCCATATAATCTACATCCGTCATATCTAGATCCAGCAAATCTAGACCTATCTAATCTAGATCCATCAAATTAATCTAATCTAGATCAGTTTATTCTAGATCCATCATATCTAG